CCGTTTTGGTTTGTTGTTTCCTCCTCTCTGCCGGTGGGAGAGTGCCGCCTCTGTGGGCGGGGGAGGGGAGCAGGGTTCTGCGCTTCCCTCGCTTCTAGTCCTCTTTTATGGCCACTTTCTTCTTCGGGCAGTTTGCTGGAGTCGTCCGTTTATCTTCCGTGTCCCAGTTCTCACTGGGACCTGCCGCTTTTCCTCCCTATTAACTTTTTTTAATGGGAGATCTTACTCGCAGCGTCTCCTCGCCGCCATGTTGCTCCGCCCCCTCCTCTCCACTCCCTTTTTTTTTAAATTTTATATATTTTTTACATCATTTTTCATTTTTGCACAATGTATGCATTTTCATCTTGGTTATAGTCCCCATACAATTCCCACCCCCTCCTTGTTTTGATCTCCCTCCCCTTACCCCTGGTAGTGTGTCTCTGGTTTATAGTTATTTGTTGATTTAGGTTTTCTAAATTTATTTAGGTTTTCTAAATTCCTGCTATGAGTGAGACCATCTGGTATTTTTCCTTTTCTTTCTGGCTTATTTCGCTGAGCATGATCCCTTCCAGCTCCATCCATGTTGCTGCAAATTGCATGTCTTTATCTTTTTTGAATGCTGAGTAATATTCCATGGTGTATATGTACCACATCTTCTTGATCCAGTCATCTATTATTGGGCATTTGGGTTGTTTCCATAGCTTAGCTATTGTAAATAGCGCTGCTATAAACATAGGGGTGCAGGTGCCCCCACCAAATGCTTCTGCTCTATGATACGGAGGTGTTGAGGGCCTTTAGAAGGCTAGGTGTATGGAACCCAGCAGTGGGAAGTAAAGACAGCAAAGTTAAGGTACTTGGACTTTTAAATCACACCTAGCTTTAAATCTCACCTTCACCATCTACTAAACTGAAGCAGATCTTTTACCTCTTTGGTCTTAGATTGCATATCTGTAAAATGAAGTTAATGTATAGCTCATTGGATTAAACAATATACGTAAACATTAGTGCAGCTCTTGGTACATAGTAAGCACTCAATAATTCTGACAATTAATTATAATAATTAGTATGAAGACTTACCAGAGCCACAGTGAAATTGGTAATGAACTTAAAGTGGCATCAATCAGGATGTGCTTGTAAAATGCAAGTGTGTATTAACAGGGTGCCCCTAAACATGGGGGGCCCTTTAGAGCCTCCTAATCCTTAACCTTCTTAGGAGGACTTAAAAATGAAGTCATATTGTGACCTAGAAGATAAGCTGGTTCTAAGGCAGAAATAAAACTTCTGCAATCAGTGCTTAGAATAACTGCTTCCAGTAGCTACAGTGGGCCTGAGAGACTCAAGAGAATGAGGAGTTGGCATGAGCAGTGTAATATTCTGAAGGCTATGCTTTTCCCCTCCTGCTCCATCCTCCCCGCCCCACCTTCCAGAGGGTTTTAGGCCAGTGAATCTGCCCAAGCACTGTACCTACTACTCAGCTCCCATTAATTCAAGCTTCACAACAGCTCCCCCGACACAATGGCTGTCCAGACAAAAGCATGTGCTGGGGTACAAAGGGAGAAAGATCTCAGCTTACCAAACGCTATAGACCTGAGGAGCCTCCTCTAGCCTGGCACAAATCATGCTGTGGTCTGTTTCTTGGACTTGCAGCTCTGGCAGAGGGGTTCACTCCAACTCTGAGTTCTGCTCAGAGGGTCCAACTTTGGCAGCTGGAGCTGGAGATGCACTCCAGGCATTTCTGAGGAGCACAGTGGCATCTAGTGGCCTAGTGTGTGCCCAATCATTTGGTCTGCATTCCTTCCTTAGTTTTAGCTCAGTCCTAAATTGGTAGATTTGTTTCTCACAAAGAAGCAAGTGATGGAGGGAGCTGAGGAGTGAGTAGGCGGAAGAGTGAGAAGAAAGAAGTAGAGAGAGACTGAAGACATAATTTTAACAGTCTGCAAGCTGGAGTGCCTCTGGAATTCCACTGAAACTTTATTTCATCTGCTTCCTGTCATACTATTGTCACTATCTTTTTGCTGTCCTACAGAAATCTCACACAGTGATCCTAAAGTATTAAAGGATGTCTTGAAAAGCTACATCCTCCAGTCACCTTGTGAGAGGCTGAAATAACAGTATCAAAATAGACAGTACCAGTACTTATTCATTGATTTGTTCATCTAACAAATATGTATTCACTACTCATATGTCTCATGTGATTTCTAATAATTAAGGATATAACACTGAATAAAAATCTCCAACTCTATATTTGTTTCTCAAGGAGTGTTCTAATAATCTATCAGATACTCTTAAGGAAAAAATTTTTGGTGTCAAGTAAGTTTAGAAAACACTGCTTAGTATATTTTTCCTTCTTGAACATCACATAAACAAGTTTATTAATGACTCCAAGTCTTGCAGTAAATAAAATTGTTTGACTTATTTTGTCCAGTGTTTTCCAAACACATTTGAGCATCCAAGGAATTAATGTTTTGGGAGTACACTTTAGAAAATGTTTGCATACATTTGTTTTGTGTTCTTTGCTGTGTTTTAAGTATTTAAAAAAATCCTTTCAAGCACAAAATAGAGTGGTGTATAAGACTATATGGACCTACTACCATATCAACAAGCATTTTGTCATACTTCCTTCAGGATCTTAACATTATAGATACAATTAGTCTTTTTCATATAACCAAAGGAATATGATGTAATGTCAAGCAGTGGTAAGTGCTTTGAAGAAAATAAAGCAGGGTGATTACAGTATGCTGTTGGTTACAGATATGTATTCCAGTGATTACGTATTTCTAGCTGGACACCATCTATATATTTTTAATATTTTATTTTATATAATTCTTACATCATTTTTCATTTTTGCACAATGTATGCATTTTCATTTTGGTTATACTCCCCATACAATTGCACCCCACCTTATTTTGACCCTAGTCCTTCCTCTCCCCTCGCCCCCCAGTAGTGAGTCTCTGGTTTATAGTTGCTTGTTGATTTTGATTTTTACTTTGTATTAGTCTTTTTCCTGGTCCCTTATTTAGGTTTTTTAAATTCCTGCTATGAGTGAGACCATCCAGTATTTTTCTTTTTCTTTCTAACTTAGACTTATTTCACTGAGCATGATCCCTTCTAGCTGCATCCACGTTGCTGCAAACTGCATGTGTTTATCTTTTTTGATTGCTGAGTAATATTCCATTGTGTATATGTACCACATCTTCTTGATCCAGTCATCTATTTTTGGGCATTTGGTTTTGAGATGTGTTAGTGATAACATTTCCTCTCACTCAACAGTGAATGTTTCAGTTAACCATCAGGTTATTCATTTTGACTTTTTTGTGTGTATTCCCATATTAGAGTTGTATATCCTCTCAGTGTAAGACCGCTAAAATTCTTAGCAATTGGGAAGAAGATTAAGTAGTGTCTGTTGCCTACATGGAATTGGTGAGCAAAATCAACTCAAGGAGAAATAGATGTACTGCCTCCATTTCTCCAGAAGTAGTAACTCTTGATCTTCTGTTAGAGAAAATAAAAGGAAGCATTAGTGGGTCATATGGAGTTAGCTTCAACATGAGCTATGTCTAGTGCATTTTGTAACACAACCTCTTCATTAGAGGGAACTGAAGAAGGGTGAGCAGGGGTGATGAATGGACGGTAACATGGGCCATGCTATTGTGCACTGGGACTGAGTTCCCTAATCTGGTTGGTGAAGGAGTACTTCCTTCCCTTTCTCCCTTGGATTTATACCTAATCCTCCAACAGCAGGGTCTTCTAATCAGTAAGTAGACTTTCTCTGATAGAGGAAAATTATCTTTTTGAGGTGAATTGCTGAAAAGGTAGTCTTCTGTTCCTTGAATTCTAGCACTAGTTTTGACTCAGTATGTGGCCCTTCCAGTCTCTTGCTATTATATACATTAGAGATAGACCAGCCATAAAGCATTTTACATACCCAGTCTATAAGACACCATACCTACTTATATGAGATATAGATATATACTATCTACATGTATTTTAATAGTGTTTAAATACCTGTTTGTTAAAAATGGGAATCTTAGGTAAGAAGTCTTAGTGATTTATCCTTTTTCAGAAAATAGTGAATCACAAATGTTTGAAATAGAGACACTGCTATTTGATTTTTAAATCACTTACTCATTTTTTCATGTCCTCCCTCCCCCACTATGCTGGGTGAAGTATATTTTGAGTTTATAATTAAAAATAATAAGTAAGTTTGTTTTGAGGCAACTTTCTGGAGTGCCCATGCAAGTAGTAAGTCATTCCCTCTCCTCCAGGCAAAGTTCTGAAAACCAGCGGAGGAGCTTATCAATGAGAAGGTCAGACTTTCTTAAGTGTGCAAGGAGACTGCTTCAGAAGTCACCCATAGGTGAAGGATTCCTATGAGTCAAATTTTTAATAAAGCTTCCCTCCCTCTTTCATTGGCTGTTTCTGACTGTTTCTCTCTCTCTTTTTCTCCCCCTCTCTCTCATTCTGCTTTTGTTTAGCTTTTTCACCACAAACAAATTGTCTCTGGTAGAGATTCTAGGAAGATTGCCAGAGTGTAGCCTTCAATTCCATAAAAAGGAAAGATACTAACTAAAAACATATACATGTGCACACAAAGTCTCCCTCACCCTTTTACATGCCTAGTCTCTTACTAAGCTTTTCCCCTTCTTCCCACAAATAGCCCTAAGAGACACAAAATTTGTCTCGGTCACTCTTCCTCCTCTTCCTCTCCTTTCCTCCCCCACTCTCTCATTACTAGCACGTAGCAAATCACACCAGTGTGCTGCCTGTGCCAGGCCACATGGCTTCCCCTGGGCTCCCCATCCCTCCCCTTACAAGCCTGGTGATTTATTGGAGGCACACAGGTTACTGTGTTGGGCAATTATTCCTAGTGACGACACACAGGGAGGCTGAGCAAATCCCAAATATGGCCCTTTCACCCACCCTTCCAAAAACCAAGCATCTTGCACAAGAGTTCATTTATAAGCTGGGTCCTGTGCCTGGATGGTCACCAGTGCTAACTGCTTCGTCTCCGTTTCTTCCAGCTCCTCTACAAGTGACCTCTCCAACTATGACCATGCTTATCTGAGGCGGAGCCCTGACCAGTGTAGTTCCCAGGGGAGCATGGAGAGCCTGGAGCCCAGTGGGGGATACCCACCCTGCCATCTGCTTTCCCCTGCCAAGTCTACCAGCAGCATCGACCAGCTCAGCCACCTCCATAACAAGAGAGACTCAGCTTACAGCTCCTTCTCCACCAGCTCTAGCATTGTAGAGTATCCACCCCCTGGCATCTCCAGCCGGGAGCATTCAGGCTCCATGGACGCCCCTTCTGCTCGAGGTAGCCTCCTAGAAGGGATGAGGCAGGCAGACATTCGCTATGTCAAGACAGTCTATGACCCCCGGAGGGGAGTCTCAGCAGAATATGAAGTGAACTCTTCAGCCCTGCTTCTCCAAGGTAGGGAGGCGCAGGCATCAGCAGATGGCGAAGGCTATGACAAATGGCATAATTTTCCCCGGGGTAAGGGAGCACCACCCCCACCCTGCAACCAGCAGTGCCCCAGTTCCTTGGAAACAGCCACTGACAACCTGCCTCCTAAAGTGGGCGCACCCCTGCCCCCAGCTCGGAGTGACAGTTATGCAGCCTTTCGGCACCGAGAACGACCAAGCTCTTGGTCTAGCCTTGATCAGAAACGGTACTGCCGGCCTCAGGTAAACTCTTCAGGCTCCCTGAAATCTTCCTTCGTGGAGGAACAGCTACATACAGTACTCGAGAAGAGTCCAGAGAATAGCCCTCCAGTGAAGCCCAAACATAATTATACCCAGAAGGCCCAACCTGGCCAACCTCTGCTGCCAACTGGAATCTACCCAGTACCTTCTCTGGAGCCACACTTTGCCCAGGTACCCCAGTCCTCCGTGAATAGTAATGGTACACTCTATCCTGCTCTGGCCAAGGAGAGTGGATATACAGCCCCTCAGGGAGCTTTCGACAAGATGGCTAGCCTGGATGAGAATGGGAACCAAAATGGATCTAGCAGATCTGGGTTTGCCTTCTACCAGCCATTAGAACATGACCCAGTGTCTCCAGTAGAGAGAAAACTTGAAACTTCAGCCAAGTGTGCCCCCTACAAAGTTAATTTCCCTTCAGTGTCCGAAAGTGAAGAAGATACCACCTTGAAGAGACATCTCATACCCCTCCAAGGCAGCAGCCTGCATCCCACTGAAAGAAAGAGCACCCACAGCAACAAACCATATTCTAATCACCACGGCCTCAGTTCTCCTCAGGCACAGGCTTGGCAAGAGGGTGAAGAGAAGAGACCTTCCAGACCCTCAGAACCTTGGGAGGGTGATTTCCAGGAAGACCACAATGCCAACCTCCGGCAGAGGCTGGAGAGAGAAGACTTAGGCCAGAGCCAGTCAAGCAACTTTGGCAGGACCAAGTCCACCTTCTTCTCTCTCCAGAACATTCCTGAGAGCCTAAGAAGGCAGAGCTGCCTGGGGCCAGGAGAGGGAGCCCAGGAGAGCTACACGGAGGGCCCGCCCACCTGTGCAGTCAGTTTGAAGGGAGAGGAAGCTGGAAGGAAAGTTGTGCCTAATCACAGGAGTCATCTGGACAGGCTGGTTTCCTACCCAAGGCCTGAGGGGAGAGCCAGTGCCTTGGCCTCTTTCCAGAGTTCAGATACAAGATTTGAAGAGCCACATTCCCCACCCCACCAGCAGACATCTAGTCTGGGCCGAAGGAGACTCAGCTCAGGCGGGACCTCGGTTCTACAGGGCTTTCAATACGGGAAGCCCCACTGCTCTGTGCTGGAGAAGGTGTCCAAGATTGAACAGCGAGAACAAGGGAGCCAGAGACCCCCAAATGTGGGCAGCTCCAACTTCGGTCATCACTACAGGCCCAACAGGACACTCCCAACTTCTACTTCTGGAAATGACTTTGAGGAGACAAAAGCCAATATCCATTTTTCCGAATCCACTGAAACTGTAGGCAGTGGGGAGCAGCACTTCAAAAATGGTGAGCCAAATTTGGAAGAGGTTTCCTGGCAGCCATGTGGTCAGCTGAAGAGAGAAGTGGAGGGAGGCCGAGGCCCCACTCTCCAAGGCAGTGAGCCCCAGAGGCAGGTCGCTCGCCTGCTCCGCAGCCAGAGCACCTTTCAGCTCTTCAGCCAGGGGGAGAGGGAGGCCCTGTGGCAGGACGACAGGCTCTGCATGCCCGAGTCACCAGTGCAGGAAGCTCCCTTCAGCCGCGCCTACCGGAACAGCATTAAGGACGCGCAGTCCCGCGTCCTGGGGGCCACCTCCTTTCGACGCCGGGACCTGGAACCTGGAGTATCCTCGGCTTCCAAGCCCTGGCGGCCACGGCCCGCCTCAGCCCATGTGGGGCTGCGGAGCCTGGAGGCACCGGCCTCTGCCTCCCCGCACACGCCCCGCGAGCGCCACAGTGTGACTCCAGCCGAGGCGGACCCCGGAGGCCGGCCAGTGCTTTCCACTGCCCGGAAGGGGCCGCGCCGGCGTCTGACCCCAGAGCAGAAGAAACGCTCCTACTCGGAGCCGGAGAAGATGAATGAGGTGGGCGTCTCCGAGGAGGCCGAGCTGGCCCCTGTAGGCTCGCAGAGGAAGGGGCTGCGTTTCCTGGAGAATACAGTGGCCGACCGGCGACGCATCTTCGAACACGAAGGCAAGGCCTCCTCTACACTCAGCCTGTCTGGGCCAGAGCTGAAGCAGTTCCAGCAGAGTGCCCTGGCCGACTACATTCAGCGCAAGACCGGCAAGCGGCCTTCTGCCTCAGGCTGTAGCCTCCAGGAGCTGGGGCCCCTGCGTGAGCGCGCCCAGAGCACCTACTTCCAGCCTGGCCCTATGGTGACGGAGGGCCCTGGCCTCGCCCCTGCCTCCAGCCTCTGCTCACTGAGGGAGCCCAGCCTGCAGACCCGCAGGGAGGCTCCCCTAGTGGTGGCCGCAATGGGGAATGGGGGGATCTCCTGCAGACCCCCCGAGATCGCAGCAGCTCTTTTGCTGGTGGTCGTCTAGGGGAATGGCGACGAGGGGACCAAGCCCCGAGGGAGCTGCACAGTAGAGCTAACTATGGTGGACCAAAAGGCACCCAGAGGGTGGACAGGACCCCTGTGGAGCCTTCCTCATGGGGGGCTGCAGATGGGAAGTCCATGAAGTCCATGTCTGCAGAGGACCTGTTGGAGCGCTCAGACGTCTTGGCTGCCCCTGTCCATGTCAGGTCACGGTCATCTCCTATTGTGGACAAGAAACGCCAGGTAAGTGTAGCAGGTGGGTCCTAGTACTATCCTATTGGGGTCTGGAAGCTTTAGTGGGGCATGCCTAACCTCAGGCCATCAGTTTTCCTTTTACATGTAAAACAGTAGCATTTGTTTTTATGAGTATTTTCTTTCTTTCTCAGTGCCCCTGTCAGATGTCCTTACAGATACGTCTATATCCATTATCTACATATCTCCCTATCTGTAGGTAGATAGATAGTTGTATGGGTAGAAACATTTACATTGGTATACATGCATATGTCTACATGTGTATGTGCATTTTTTGTTGTTTTGCTTTTTTAATTCATGGAGTAAAAACTATGGGTCAATTATATTATAAAGATTCAGTTTTGTACCTGTATGTTTCTGTTTGGACTTTTGCATTTACAAAATAGACAAAATTACTACCTTAGATCATAGTTGATTATTGAGTTCCAGGTCCTCAGCTAAGTATGCTTTACATTTATTATCTCATTAATCCTCACAATAATCCTGTGCAGTATATTTTCTACCTCAAACCCATGGCTTTATGACTCCCATCTGAGCCACTTCTGTGCACTATCTAGATGAGATAGTAGGATCAGCCGTTCAAATTCTCATATGAAAGAATTTTCTGATAGTCTCCAAACTGTAAATTGTGAAGTGCTTTCCCCTAGAAATTTCAGGTAGAGCTAGAAATAGAACCTGAGCACTGACTCTCAGGAGTCTATTAATCCTTAGCCCTAATTCCCTGACTAATTCTTAGCCCATCCTCAAGCTTCACTTCCACTGCAGATAAGTAGCCTGGTTCATGCTGCCCTTCCCACATTTGCAGATACTAGGAATTCACATAGATGTTAGCACGGGGAGAGCACCCTCCGGTGCGTGCCCCTTCTCAAATTAACTAATGCTTGTGAGAAGTGAATATGCTGTTAAAGGGAAATTCTTTTGCTTCTAACTTCAGATCTGAGAAAGTTTCTCTTGAAGGAGATGTGATTTGAACCAGGCTGTAAAGCATGGCAGGATGTTGACAAAGGGTTGGGGTTATATGTGTGGGTGGTATTGGAGGAAACAGCTTCAGACAAAGAAAGATTCAGCTGTTGCTGCCTGAGAAGTTTGTATGCTCCTGAAACACACACACAGAGCTTTCGGAGAGACAATATTTCACCATCGTGGGTATTTTCTGTTCAGAAATATTTCCTACCCAATGTAAGCCCACAAGAAAATCTATAGAGGCAATCTTCCATGAGCATTCGATAGACATTTTCCTATTTTCAGAATGAAGAACAGAGCTAATTACTACTCCTTATCCTACCACTAAAACACTTTTAAGATCTGTGTATGTACGTACAATTACAGGTGTTTGATGGGATTCGGTAACTTACTGAATAGCAAAGTAAACATTTATTTCTCTCCTTATGTTTAGTGAAAATAGAAATGCTTAGGTGAAAACAAGCCATCTTCTGTTGTTTATTCCCCACTAAATGTCATTATTCTCCCTGGGAATTGGTTGGATGGCTATCAATGTTATTTTGTCTTCCCCCATAAAACATTTCTCAATCCTGATAAACTGGGAAATAGAGCTAACAAATTAGTGGAATAGAGAAAAGAGCCTTCCACATCCCAATTAAATATATTATTTGAAAAACTTTTTAGAAGGACGACAATTTATAGACCATTATTTAGGCACTCTTGTCAATAAAATGGTACCATATTTGATATTAATTAATTTGGGGAATATGAAACTAAAGGGAGACAATACTTCAAAATGAAATACTTTATGTGCTGCTTTGCTCATAAAAACTTTGAAAGTGAGTTATCATCTTCCCCGCTCCCCCCCCCCCCCGTTGGAATTGTGCCACGACCGTGTTCTTGAGCTTTAAGCCTTGTCTGCCCTGAGACCTGGTCCATGGAAAGGTCTGTCTGCTCTGTGCATCTAATGCCTACATCCTTCAACTACTTTATTTAGCTCTAATTAAAAACAAAGTCTCCATATAATTACTGTGATTATTATTTCAACATATTTGTGGTTTTCACTTGAATATAAGGAACTTACACCATTAGTGATAAGCTCTAGTGAAAGCACTGAATAAGAATTTTTCTCATCTTTGCTCTAGAGGAAGGACTCAGAAATTAAATGACCATTTAGAGATCTTCTGCCTGAGGTAAACCAAAATATAGAGTCAGTTTTTATGGTGCTGGCTCAGTCCGTGGCATCCGAAATAAATGCTACTTGTTCCTGCCAGCCAGATGCTAATAGAGCAGGATTTTACAACCATTTAACAAGGCTCAGCTCCTTTACAAAAGTCCAATAGTGAAGGCTGTTTCTGCCCCCAAAACCAAGTCAACATGGAAATCAGTTCCTTGGTTTATAAAAATTGATCTTTCTTGGGACTAAATAGTCATGGCAAAACGCTTCGTCTACCTGGGGCCTGAGACTACTCATTCTCAGCAGACCTGGGCTTGTTGTTAGCAGACAGGCTTGCTATCCTCTGAAACACATAGCTTCCCACTACTTTGTCTTCATTTGAAGGCAAATAAAGTTGCAGAACAATTGGGTATTAGTGATGGAGCTGAAGGGCACATCAAATTCTCGCCTGTTTTCTGCTCTCAATGAGACCTTGGAAAACAAACTTTAAGTAGGTGGGCCTTACAGAGCTGCAGAAAATACCCAGATGTTTCTGTCCTGTCTTGGAGACAGAAATTTACACCTATTCAATACATAGATCTAGAATACCGCAGAGGTTATAAAGAGAAATCCTTGAAGTAAGAATCCTAGTTGGGAATTTTTCCCCCCAAATACTGTGTTAGAGGTTTCTCTGGTGCTCACTGTATTTTCAGAGACCTTGTTTTCTAAGTTATAACACATTCACCAAATGACAGTATGACAGGTTATTTAGTTGCTGAGGAAATTGTTCAATGCATGAAATCCCACAGTGTTGGAGATATAGGCTTGATTGTTGGATGCAGCTTGTAAATCGTTTTAGCAAGGAGGGGGGGTGCATAAATAACAGAATCAACTTTCCACAAAATGTATAGTTACAAATACATAATAATAATCAAATATGTACTGTGTGCCAGTCATTGTGCAGCTGTATAAATGTAAAATTAATCCTTAAAACTGTCCAAAGAGGTAGATACTATTTCTATCTCTGTAGCAGAGGAGGAATCTGAGACACAGAAAGGACAAGAAATTTGCCAGGGTAGTGGGAGCAAGGTTTTGACCCCTTACTGTCTTGAGTACTCAGATCCCTCTTTGAATTAAGAAAGACTAGGGTAGTGGGAGGGAGGCAAGAGTTAAACATCTTATGTATGAAAATTTCATCCAGTGAATTGACTTCATCTTAACATTTATTGATTATTGTTATTTATATTTAAGTATTTTTATACATTTACTATTCCAAAGTAAATAACTAGTTGTCTTCATATTTCAGTGGTCACAGAGATATCAGGACAGCTGAGAACCCAAAGCTAGAGTAAGGGTTGGGATTCAGTAACTTAAGGTTTATAGTTTTAAGTGTGCCTAATGAAAAATAAAAACTGATATGTTATGAAGTCAGTCATCAAGTCAGAGATCATTAACAAAAAAACAAATAGACACTTGCGTGTCTATTGGTATCACTGTAAACCTGGTATTTCTCCCAGCTACTCCTTTTTCCAAAATTGCCATAAATACTTCACACTTTGTACCATTTTATAGAAAATAAGTTCATCTTTGACAGTGAATATATGTTCAAATCAAAGCAAGTAAATACAACGAAAAATTACCTTCCTTGGGCTTTTACTAGGTCGAAAAGGCATTTTCCATGTGTCTAAATGGTATTTCAATTGACAGGAGATTTAGAGCATTTTCTCACTAGTCTCTTACTGGGTCTAATTTCCTTATTTTACACACACATAATTATCAACTTAAGCTTATAGTGGAATCCAAAGAAAATAATAGACTGAGAAAATATAAACATTACTGGGTTGGGAGTTTAAGGGGGACCTAAAAACTTTCCAATTAATTATTGGCAAAAATGAATGTGTCAACAGAAAGGACAAAATGAGGAAAGACTTTAAAATGACTGTAAGGTTTCCCAGAGAGAAGTCCATTCTCTTTGAGCAAATCAGGGACACAGGAGATTCCTTTTTCTCAAAACAATGAAGTCTGATTGCATCCAGTCCAACCACCACTTACCTGTTAAAATTCCAAAGAAAGATCTTGGGCTTTGAAGCAATTATGGTTTGAACCCTAGCTCCTCCCACTTATTTAACTGTGGGTAAGATACTTCTCTGAGCTGTAATCACTTTCCCTCTCTGCACTGTTGTAGAGATTAAATTACAGAAGAAATGTGAGATGCCTACAGCAACTCCAGGCACATAATTTGAGGATTGCAGGTTACTTCTCAGTGTCTGGCACATAATAAACACCCAAAAAGGGATAGCTGCAATTACTAATAATCATGTTTTTGTTTCTTCTTGGGCTCTACTGCCACCTTTGGCTCTTTGCATTACCTCCACTGCTGACTGGGGTAGGTAGAGTATGGGGAAGAAAAGAGAAAGGAAGGGTCCTCCCTGGTGGTGCAAGGGGTTAAGACGCAACCTATGAAGCTGTCCGCAGCCACTGCAGCATGAGTTCAATCCCCGGCCAAGGAGCAACCGACATGGTGCAGCAGACCTCTCCTGACTCGCCCACTGCTCCCCTCAGCAGTGTATTTCAGTCAATCTGCCTGTTCTGTTTCCCACTCTGTCTCTAGTGAATCCTCTCACCCCCTGCACCTCTGGCCTGTACCCAAGTTCTTGTATTCATAAATAAATAAATATTAAACAAAAAAAAGAAAGAGAGAAAGGAATGGAAAGCAGTAAGTGGTGGAATACGTTGCTGAAATTAAGTATAGGGTTTTTTTATAGCTACATGTATTTCCTGTTTTCGTATCTCCTATTGTCATAAGTAATTGAGATTCAACTGTATTATTGTCACTAATCATCATTGTCTTTTATTAGGGATCTGCTCACATGGCCCAAATTTCACATTATCAAAAATTGAACTAAGACTCTTTCAGGACAGGCACACACGCACGTACGTGCACACACACACCCTTATTTAAAAAAAATAATGATTACCCTGAGGAGTCCGAGTTGTTAATATCACATGTGAGGGAAATGTTTTTCCCAGAGGGACTATATTTCAACCTGATTACAAGTCAAATTCATATCTTCTTTCATTATAACTCAGAACATTTGAAATTTTGCTATATTCAGTAGTCTCTGCTTTTCCCACCATCTCCCATAGTCCCTTGTTGCTGTTTTAGAAGCTTGGTCTTTTGAATTAATTTTCACTTTATTTTAAGTATAGTATTGTTTTGAACCATGGAGATAATTGTTATGAGACTTACTGCCTAGAAGATGTCCTGTGAGAAGAGACACCAGTGAGACTAACTACCTCTGCCACTAGTGACCTAGTAACCTCTTTGGGACTTTCTCATCGATGCAGAGGGGTTAACAGTACTTCCTGAGACTTTGAGAATGAAACAAGATCATATGTAAGAGTACCATGTGGTACCTGACAATAAAGTATAGACCTCCAATACATATTTGTTATCCTCCCTACCCCTTGGTAAATTTATTATTTTTTTTTAAAGGTTTCTAGGAAGTTTCCTTACTCATTTTTTTAAAAGGATTTATTTATTTATTTATACAAGCACTGGGTACAGTCAGAAGCGCGGGAGGGTGAGAGAATTCACCAGAGCCAGAGCGGGGAGCAGAGCAGGCAGAAGGACCGAAGTACACTGCCGAGGGGAGCAGCGGGCGGCAGGAGAGGTCTCCGGGGAGCAGCCGGGGATCAAACCGGCGCTGCAGAGGCTCTGGGCAGCTTCACAACCTAGCGCTCAACCACTGAGCCACTGGGGAGGCCCCTCCTTGGTAAATTTAAATGCCTATTTGTTGGTATTAATGTTCTGCCTTTCTTATGTTTCAAGGATGTGCTTTTAGGGGAAGACAATGGCTTTGGTTTTCTGAAGGATCCATGTTGTTTGGCTGACCCCGGATCTAGGTATGTGTATTTACGATGCCACTCCCTTTAGGAATGCTGTGGGACTTAGTTGCTTTTGTTCCTTCTACAAGAAATTGAAATGTGCTGTTGTGATATTTCACATTATTATGTGCTGCTTTTTCAATTTGTCTAGGCTGTCGAGAACTTTTATTTTTCATTTACTGATGACTTTAAGAACAATACTTACTCAAGATAGGTTTTGAATGTGAGCTGTTTTAGCATCAGCTAATGTCCATATTATTCACAGGTGTGTCCTGTGACTCTTACACGTGGGGCCCCTCTTGTGTGGCTGCTCTCTACCAGTTCTGTGCACAGGGAATCGGGTCTGGTGACTGAAGCACTAGAGGAAGAATAGCCTTTCATGAACAACCTCACAAAGCAAGCAAACCACAGAAAGCACCCAAGCAAAAAATAAAGCTCCAGTCTCATAATTTTTTTGGCACTTAGGGAGAGAAAGTCATTTTTTTAGAGATTGCCATCAAAATAATTTCTCTTAAATAGAAAAATGTAATAGATCATTTTATAGAATTTCAATTTTTGAATTATTTGCATGGACCTTAATTTGGTCTCACTTGTTTATTTTTGCTTTTGTTCCTTTGCTTTTGGTGTCATATCCAGAAAATAATTACTTACCACTTGTTTTCTTCTAGAAATTTTATGGTTTCAGGCCTTACATTCAAGTCTTTTAATCCATTTTGAGTAGATTTGGGAGCATTGTGTAAGATAGTCAAATTTCATTCTTTTACATATGGCTATTCATTTTTCCCAATACCGTTTATTGAAGAACTATTTCCCATTGTTTATTCTTGTGTCCTTTGCCCTAAATTAATTGACATAATAGATGCTTAGGTTTATTCTGGGCTTTCTGTTCTGTTCTGAGTGTTTTTATGCCAATATACTTGTTTTGATTACTATAGCTTTGTAATGTAGTTTGAAGCCAGGAATTACGATGCCTGCAATTTTATCCTTTCTCAAGATAACTTTGACCATTCATAGTCTTTAGTGGTTTCATACAAATTTTAGAATTGTGTTGTAGTTCTGTGAAAGATTCCATTGGAATTTTTATAGGGGTTGCATTGATTCTGTAAATTCTTTGGGTATGGACATTTTAAAAATAATAATCCAGTGCTTGATGGAAAGACATTATATGTCATTATATGTGTTATCTTCCAATTTCTTTCATCAGAGTCTTATCATTTTTACCACCTTGGTTAAACTTATTCCTCAGTATTTTATTCTTTTTGATACAATTGTAAAAGGATTTTTTTTTAATTTCTTTTTTTTGCACATTTGTTCCTAGGGTATAGAAATGCAATGATTTTTGTATATTGATTTTGTATCCTACAACTTCATTGAATTCATTTATTCCATAGGTTTTGGTGGAGTCTTTAGGATTTTCTATATATGCTATCATATTTACCTTTCATGTATTTTCAAACCAGTTTTTCTATTTTTCCTTAATTTTTAAATATTTCAATCATTGCTATAATTTCTACATTCACTTTCTTAATAACTTAATACAGGCACTTAGAAGCAATCAGTGCGACTAGGAAGTGGGTATTAAGTTCTATAACTTTACTGACATGTGCATCCTTCCACAATTTGTGCTCTTGCTCCTGTAGTTATGCCTAAAGTAAAGGAAGTATTCAAAGTGAGACTGAGGACTTTGGTTAGTTTGGATTCATTAATGAAAAGCTAGAGACAGGGAAAATTTAACAATGAACTAAGTGCTGCTGAAAGACTACTGGTTTGAAATCAAAGATGAGACTGAACTGAACAACAAAAAATCAAATAACTCGATTACAAGAAGGATGTGAGTAGATTTTTCTCCAAATATAAATAGTCAACAAGCATATGCCTCTCACACTGTATTATAAAAGGGACTCAAACAAAATCTTTATTGCCCTATTCTTTGTTCTTGGAAAATATAATCACTAAGGAGAAGCATTCTTAACCCAACTAAGCATTTAACTAAAACATTGCCTTCAAAAATACAGTTTCTACAAACTGATAAGATTGTACAAAATTTCTACAAATTGATAAAATAAAATCATCATGTCAAAGTATATTGGGCTAGATATTTAAAGAGTAAGTGTTGTACTATTTTGTTGTGTTTTAATGATGTCTCAGTAAATACAGAGCCTTAAAGTAAACTAAAGGTACTCAAACTAGTCACTAAAACATCAGATTCCAGTTGACTCCATCTCCTATTTGTGAGGATGCAGAGTTTAAAAATAGCTCATGTCCTATGTCTCTAAAGAGCTGTTAGGCAGAAGAGACATTGTTTGTTCAACAGACATTTACTAAGAGCGACTTTGTGCTGGGTGCCAACGATGCCAAAATGAGCAAGACATGGAAGTAAAAGAACCCCCAGTGAATCTCCTGCACCTGGGCTTCCTGTGTACCCATTTGGGAGCCCACCAAGAAATACAGAGCAGCCAAGCTTAGATACTCGGAGGTTCCTAGTAAAGAAACCATCTCTGAATGAAAGGGGTCTAGGGCATGGGAAGAAGTGTTTCATCTAAAAGAAAAATGAGCCCTTAATCACGTACATTTATAATTTAAAAAATAATGACACGAGGGGAGTTAGTTTGGTTCTTTGTGGTCTTTTCCTTCCATATACTGTATGAAAGGATTTGCCTGGACATGGAGGATTTGTCTGGCACAGAGGATTTTGTGGCCGGTCTATGCAAAACTCTGAATTGGACTGAGCCACAGCTTCCTGAGATTGGGATCTATAAAACGAAAAAGTGCCATCTGTGCTCCAGATTCACTTGCAGACTAGTTGGGGAGCTACAGATGTGGAGTTTATAACTGGTGGCGATTTGCTAGAGAATTTCTGTCCTCACATTAACTCCTGCATGGCAGGAAAGCAGTGCCACAGATTTCTGTTTTCTTTCTTTTGTTCTCCTTCTAAGACACAATAACAAAAGCATTAGAAACTGTTGGGTTTGTCTTTGGGGCCTAGAGGATACCTATTTAAATTAACATGCACCCTGTTTGCCCATTATTGTCCATTTTTTTCTCCAGAGGTGACTGCTTATTAGTTCTTCGGTGATGCTCTCCCTCTACTTTTTGCTTTCCATTTTAAGAAATGAAAACACTAGGAGACTAAGAGAAAGTTGTAAATAAAACCTTCAAATTCAGCAGCCCACGCAAATGCTTTCCAAACAGACCTCCCCCAGGGGATCACACTGGGAGAGGAGGCAGCATTCTTTCTCCCCAGAGTCAGAGGCTGGTTCTCAAAGTAGTCCTAAAAGAGCAGGAGAAAGTACCTACTTGTCCCTATATCCTGAGCCTGCCCTCAGAAGCCACTCTGTGTGGGAGGTAGGTGGTCAGAGATGGCTAATAAAAGGAAATGCCTTATGACCTCAGACTTGCCACGTGACATTTTCCTGTAGGAATTTACGCCTGACTGGTATTTAATTTAAACTTCACTGCGTGTGTGAGCAGCCAGAGGGAGGCAGTGTGCAGAGTGTGGGGTTCTGCCCATCAAATGCATTTCATTCCCATGAAATGATCCTTGTGCTTTGCATGTGCTCCTTTCTTCAGAACTATGTTTGCATCTTCCTGCAGGTCATTCAGTTGTTCAGAAAGAGGCCGAGAAGAAACGCCTTTGCTCAAGCACCATCCCAGCCCTCGCTATTGCTCAAGCACCATGCCAGCCCTCGGTGGTTTAGGCTGCAAAGCAGCTGGTGGTTCCTCAGTTCACCCCGAATGTCCTGGACCCCTGGACCATCAGAGGGAAGCCAGCAAAACACCTTGCCCCCGGCCCCTGCCCACAGGAATGCAAGGGCAGCTCACAGACACCAGGGCTATACCACTAACCCCACTCAGCCCAGCTCTGCCTGCCCCTGTTCCCTCTGGCTACTGCTTAGCAGCTGCTGCCAATCCACCAACTGGAAGGGATGGTGAAGTGAGGCAACAACCTATTCTGTCCCCCACCCCTGCAGTAACCCACAGAAGCAATAGTCACAGCCTGGCCCAACCTCCCAGCCCAAGAGGTCCTGAGCCCAACAGCCCAGACCATGGCATAGAAGAAGCAAGGAGGAGGTTCTCCCTGCCTCAGCGGCCTCCACCCACTCGGGTGAAGTGGGCCCACACTGTCAGAGAGGATAGCCTCCCCGAGGAATCCCCAGCGCCTGCGTTTGCAAACCAGAAGCACTCTATGAAACAGCAGTATCTTCCAAGTTCAAGCAGCACTTCCGAGCCAGAGACACCTATTGGGGCCTTGAGCACACCAGGAAGGATCTCTCTCCGAATATCTGAATCGGTCCTGCAGGCCTCCCCACCACCCAGGGAAGACTATGATGATGAGGTGTTTCTGAAGGACTTGCACCCAAATGCCACTTCCAGCCCCACATTTGAAGCTCTTCCCCCACCCCCACCTCCACCGAGCCAGGAAACTCTGGTGAATACTGTGGATGACTTTCCTCCACCTCCTCCCCAAGCTTTGTATGAGGCCCAGCTGGACAGCGAGGATTACAGGGGGCCCCAGATCAGGTGAGTGGGCAGACTCTGAGTAGGCTGAGCCTTCATCTGCAGAGCAAAAGCTTTCCCCTCCATAATATGAGATTTCACATTCCGATCCTCCTCTTGGCCCACAGTCTGGAGTGGAGGATTCTTACATAAGCTTAGCTCATGAGACAGGTGGAACTGGTTCATTTGTTTACTGTGGGTGGTCGTTATACTAATAGTCATGGGGTGAGAGAGAGAAGATAAAACCCTAAATAAATCCAAGAGACACAGCTCACGTCTATGGACATAAGTTCAAAGGGTACAAAAAAATAACATCCCTCTTCCTGCCTGAATGGTGAATCAATTAAGAAATAAGACAAGAAGGAGACATATAGAGTACAAAAATACCACTTCTACTACTGGTAGAATATTGGAAGAATGTGGTCAGACCTTGTCCATGGGAGGAATAGAGGAGAACCAAAGGTCAGTGATGTTTAGGGAGAAACTCTTGTTGGAAGCCAGAAGAATGGGAAAGAAGCATTTCCCAACAGTGCTCCCCAGGGCAAGTGACTGTTCACAACACCAAAAAAAAAAAAAAAAAAAAGTATTGCTTGACATCACCTTTGTGGTAAGTTCCTCTAAATGCCACAAGAGTGATTTACCACCACTGCCCACTATTGAGCAGGATCTTTCAGAAAGCTCTGGAATCTACAAATAATCCTCATTAAAAATTCACACAACTTCCCCTTGATTAACAAGTGGGCTCAGTTGAAGGCCCCTAAGACCTACAATTTAGGGGGGATAATAACCTCAGAAATGTGACTATCTTGCCCCACTTCCGACATAGAAAGGTACAATCTTAATGTAGAAAACTTCGCCCTCTCATCTTCATCCTCTGTTGACTCTTCTCTTAAACCCCTCTCTCTCTGTGTTAATACCCCTACCAGCTCCAGCAAATCTGCCAATGTGACAGTTGCCAAGGAAAAGCCCATGGCTGATGCAGCCCACTTGGATGGTGCTCAGATACTGGCCTCCAGATCCCAAACTTCTGTAAGGGGCCCAGAGTTCAGAGAGACCAACCCATCTTCCACCACAGATGCTGCGCCTCAGCTTGCAGGGTCTCTTGTCAAGGAGCCAACCCCAGGGAAGTCACTTCCCATCCAGACTCCAAGCCTGGGCCATGATCCACTCAATGGGACTCAGGGTTTAGAAAAGAATGCCAGCTTGGGTTCTCAGAAAACCTCGGAAGACAAAAGAACAGAGACTCTGGCCAAGGAAATTGTCCACCAAGACAAATCTCTGGCAAATATTTTGGATCCAGACTCCAGAAGGAAGACAACCATGGACCTGATGGAAGGTTTGTTTCCCCGAGATGTTAACTTGCAGAAGGAAAGCAGCATAAAGAGGAAGGTCGTTCAGAGACCTGTGGACTGCCCAGGGTATGAAGGCAAGAGGTAAGTCCCTGGTAATGTCCCCTAAGAGACACCTGCACTCCGTTCATAGGGGGAGATAAGTCTAGGAATAGTTATCTGTTCTCTTCCTGCTTCCAAAGATTCTGACCTGAGAATGACATTCCATTTCAGCTTTAGGGGAATAGCTCTGAGGAGTAGGTGTGAGCCAGACCCCGAGTTTCCAGGCACTTGACCAATAACAGAAGTCGTAGTAACAACTGCTATTAATATCTATTGTTTTTGTCTTTTGTGTCCAGCATTATACTCATTCCCTTATATAAAACATTTCATCTGTACAAGAACCTTATGAACTAGCTACCAGTTTTATCTCCATTTTACAGTTGAAACTGAAGCACAGGGAAATCAGAACTGTGCCCAACCATGTCACAGATGCACAAGGGATGGCATCTGTAGCTGAACTGCGCACTGTGCCCATACGTTCTCTAAAGATCTACACTGTGCCCTGAGGTGCACTATACTGACATTTACCTTTGAAGAATTAAGGTGGATGTTTGCTCAAATCCCCAAAATCAAGGAAGACCTGAAGGGAAGCACACTTTCAGGGTGTTTGTTGGGTCAATGAGCCTCTACTCCCCAAGCACCGTGTTTACAGACCTGGGACCTGCGTCCGCGTGCCCACCCACAGTCCAACGTGCCATTCTTGTGATTTCTCCTGCGTGACTGCAGTGTTTTCTTGCATATTTGACTTCCCTTAAAAGACCACTACGGGAAAGATTTAGAGTGGTTTTTATTTGCTTTTTCATTTTCAATGAACACTCTGTGGATTGCCAGACTGGGGCTCAGCAGTTAGTGGCTTCCAGACTAAATAAAAACAGAGGACATTTCATCTAAATTTGGACTTGCATTTTAGAAATTTCCAGCTGATCCTGACTAAATTACTAACAGGAACACCGTGTTTTGACTTGTGGGAAAGAGAGGAGAAAGGAGAGCTTTATAGTACTTAAAAGTGATTTGATGTGATGGAGGCTCTCCTAAAAGGTCTGAACCTTGCCTGTCCCCGGATTTTTCAGATTTGGCAAAAACTAGTCAAAGTAAAGGGACTTATTAAGGGTCATGCATTTAGCACACATTTTTACTGCATGTCAGAAGGTGTCAGGCAATTAACTGGGTGCCACGAGGGACTCAAAGATGAGTTTCTGTGCGTGTGCTGGAGCAGGTCACCATGGTTGTGGTTGATCAAAACCAGGCAACTCCGTTCATTTCATTCTGTTCTGATTCCTCACTGCAGTAAGACCAAAGTAATTTATAAACACATCCTTAGAAAAGCTTTTTCTAGGTCTAGATCATTGAGAACATAATTCTCCTAGTTAATTTAGAGGTGAGGTGATCACAGAGCTCTTGCAGCTGAGATCCTCAGAAATTTCAAAAGGATGGCAAGTGCCATCTTCTGGTGAAAATGAGCATTGGCCGGTTGTGCCTGAGACTGTCCACAAACAGCCGCTGGGAGGTTGAGTTCTCAATGCCTGAAAAGCCTGCAGTGAATCTTTGGAATGGGAGGGAAAGGGTCATATATCAGGAAGTAGTCTTACTTTTCAATTAACTGGGTTAGATATAGTTATTTTGCTTAGGGGAGTAGTTCAATCCAGCAGGAAACGAAGTACAAATGATTATTTTCAGGATTCTTTATTCCACCGTAAGATGATGGGCTAGAAATCAAATACTCTCACAAAATAGAATAGTTGAAATACCTCTTCACTAGAACCTGACTTATGCCCATAAGGTCATTTATTCAGTGGGTAGGATCTGACCCATAATGTGAAAAGCAATTTAGTTATAATAAAATAGAAAACACTAGATATTAAGTTTCTCAATTCTTAGTCTGTTCTCCAGCCTTGAAACCCCCCTGGTTAATCAACAAGTAGATTTCGCCGCTTGTATTTATTCACTGTTGACCCACAGCTCCAGATTTCTCAGGTGTATATGGTACCAGACTTAAATGAGTAGGAGAATTGATAAGTGTCCAAGGAAGAGAGTGCCTGACCCTGGAGCAGTAGGTAGTAACCTAAAGCCTGAGATTTGGGCAGCATCTGGAAGCGACTTTCGCATTGACTGACGCATGACGCCCCCATTGCCTTTCTGAGAAATTAGGGAGTCAGTATCAGAGTATCATAAATGGAGAAACATGAATAGAGGATAAATGAGCTACCCAGAGTCACCTGCCCAGTGTGCAGTCTGCTCCCACTCTGCCTTCCATTGCTGCCTCATCCCCAGGTTACCTGGCTTCCAGAGCCCTGCACAGAGTAATCACTTGTTAGTCAATATTCATTAACTCATAATTTCCAAGAAAAAAATTGAATGGAATTTTGTGTACATCTCCTGTGTGCAGGCCTATTATGAAAAGATGCTTCAGATGTGTGCAGAGTGACTGTATTTTTTGTTCTTTATGATCCAGGAGTGAAGACAAGGAAACACTGGGCATGTTGGTCAACTGCCCGGCCTACTACAGCGTGTCTGCCCCCAAGGCTGAGCTTCTGAACAAAATCAAAGAGATGCCGGAAGTGGCAAATGAGGAAGAGGAGCAGGCAGATGTCAATGAAAAGAAGGTAATGGGAGAAGAGGGGCCTTTGCTCTGCTCTACCCGGAAAGATAAGGCGCTCACGGGGTCATTGGTCCCTTGCCCCAGGTGGGAAGGGGCTGTCATGTCACTAACCTCACTCACACCGTCAGTGGACTCTGGACTTAGGTCGCACTGTGAGCAGTTTCCTCACAGCTCTTCAGGCATTTCCATTTGTACAGAATGATAAATATGATGGTTAGAGGAATTAAATTACTTCCTAAAAATCTCATAAATGGAAGGAGAACCCAGGCCCCTGCCTCTGACTCCGCACAGGGAGCTGACACTGTTCTCAGAGCTGAGCAAGAAATACCAACAGTTCCTGATTTTCATTTCATGATTTGTGTCAGAAGGAAAACTAGTAAATCTAGAAACTTTGTTCAAGGAAAGCAAGAGTGTCAAAAGACACTTCTGAGAAAAGGTAATGTTAACCTTTTGATTCCCAACTCTTTGCAAGACCCTAGTGAATAGCTTGAGAGTTGGAATTTACTCTTGCAGAAGTTTTAAATGCCCTGGAGCTCTCAGCTCAGCTGTGCCTGCAGGGGAGAAAGTTCTTGCCATTCCACTTTTTCGGTCCCAGAGAGCTTCCTGCGACTGTGCTTACAGCTCAGGGCTGCCTGCTGCAAAACAGCTGTCTGGTAAAGCCCACCTTGTGCTGAGCCTGGAATGTAAGGGTTCTGAGTGGTCATCGACTCCAAGAGAATCTTTTTTTTGTGATTCCATGTCATTTATTCTGTAGTATGTATGTATGCTCAGCCCTCTTGCTTATGTGTTGGAATGAGACCACAGGGTATGGACAATGAGAACAGGGAAGAATGGAGCAGGAGGATTTAGGGTTTTAGAAGCACCTCCACCATTTTAGTATTTCTCTCCTGACCATCCCCTCCCCAGCTCTGTGGGCTCTCAGCACATGGCCGACATGCTGATGAGCCACTGTAGTAACACATGCTTCCCACCCAAGACTGTCCCATTTAAACACCTCCTTCATAGCACACTACCTGGCATATTCCTCCTGCCTCAGTGATGCAGCTCCCATTCCCCTCCCTGCCCCCCATTAATGGGCCTTATGATTGGAAGTGAGACCACCTTGCACTGGTCTGTTTATATTTATCCCAAAGAGTGATATATATATATAAACACCTTTACAAGTACCAGGTTGCCATGACAAATTTAGCTGAACATCTTAGAGTTTTTTTGGGGGTGTGTGTGTGTAGACATAACATGCTTTGCAGTAGCCATGCGGCAAATTACTTGCTACTTTTTCCTCCCCATCTTAATTTAAACTGCTTTCCCCTCACTTTATTATCACCCTGTCACTCTGAGGATTGTGTGGCAAAAGTATTTTTAGACTGAGAATAGGAAGGAAGGAATGTTGGATTCATCCTCACAGGAAATAACAAACAGTACCATTTATTGAACACTTTTTATGTTCCAGTTATAGACTACCTTTTCTAACATAGTGCTGTATTATCTTTGTTATTTACCAAAATGCTCCGACATGTGTATTGTGCACATTTTACAGTGAACTAATCGGTGTGTCGGGCTGTGTCAGGACGAGGGAGAAGGGCATTCAAGAACGAAGCATGGGAGGGGACTGGAGAGGTGACTAAACATGGGGGGAGAGGTGTGTGTACCAAAAAAAGGTACTTCAAGTAGTGGGATATTTTGACTGCTTGGAAAATAACAAGACTCGTGATTATATTTTAAAATTACCAGATTTAGAAAAAGAAAAGCCACAAATGGCAGATGAGACTTGCAAGGATCCACAGGGGCCAGAAGGTCATGCAGAGTTTATGTGAAATGCTGGAGTTGGGATGTTATTGTGTGGGATCACGTTATGTGGCAGGGACGAACCCTTTGTGCTTTTTATTTTAATGAACTACAAGTTTATTATGCCATCAAAAATTAATTTCATTAGCATCACATTTATATATCTGATTTGAAACAGAAAATGTGATCTTTAAATATTTTGAAAGTATTAATATGCTCAATATAAAGTTGAAAATGCTATTCACTTTTCTAAAAATGACTTTAAAAAATGATTCTTGGTCAGTATTCATTCTCCAAGATTGTTCTGAAGCAGAATGCATGTTGCAGCTTCCTACCAACTTTTGCAAAGTAATAACTTAATATGTTTAAAATATTTCTAGACACAAAACTCACTAAGAATTCATGGAAACTAGAATCCTGATATATTCATGAATTTTTTTTAAAACTGCAACTGGCATGTTAAATCACTTCTACCTTAATATATTTTCTATTTATACATTGTGATATTTCAAGTAAATATAAGTATTACTTAAAATATGAAACACTTTCATTGTCTGAACTTAAGACATACATAAAAACTACAGACAGTTTCAATTCTTTTGCTAAGCCTTGCCATATCTAATAGGCAAAAATCTGCATGATTCTCCATTCTGAAGACCAAAAGGCTTTGGCTTAGATACTTAGTGGAATATTTCAGAAGGCAAAAGAATGTTATTTTTCAGAATTGGCTTTCCCTGAGTTCATTGCAACCCAGATGGTTCCGAGCTGCATTTTTGTTGTTCTTCATTCTTTTTTTAAAAAAGATTTTATTTATACAAGAGCTGGGGTACAGGCCAGAGGCATTGGGGAGGGGGATAGAAAGGATTCACCAGAGACAGAGCGGGGATCAGTACAGGCAGACTGACTGAAATAGACTGCTGGGGGAGCAGCGGGCGAGACAGGAGAGGTCTGCGGCACCATGTGGGTTTCTCTCTGGGTGGCCAGGAAGAAAACCCGCACTGCAGAGGCTGTGGACAGCTTCACAGCGCTACTCTCAACCTGCTGCGCTACCAGGGAGGCCCTGTTCTTCATTCTTGAAGTTTCCTTGTGGTCTAAAAGAAATTAGCATTTCTTTTAGAATAGGTCTGGTAGTGCTGATTCTTTAGTTTTTCTTCATCAAAGAATGTCTTCCATTGTCACTCCTGAATGATATTTTCACTGGATATGGAATTCTGGGTTGATTGTTCTTTTTCCCTTGAACATTAAAATTGCTGTCATACTGCCTTCTGGCTTAATGGTTCCTGATGACAAGTGCACTCATTTAAGTAACTATTCCTTCTGTAGGAAATATACTGTTTTTCTCTTAGTGTCTTCAAAACTTGTTCTTTTTCTTTGCTTTCCAGCAGTTTATGATGTCTGTGCACCAGATTTTTGGCTTATTGTATTTGAAGTTTGCTAAGCCTTTTAATTTTATCTATGTATGTCTTCCAGCAAATTTGGGGAGTTTCCAGGTATTATTTCATCTCTGAATTTTTTAAAAAAAATTATTTATTTATGCATACAAGAACAGGGGTGCAGGCTAGAGGTATGGGGGGTGAGAGGTTCACCAGAGACAGTGGGAAGCAGAACAGGCAGATCTACTGAAATACACAGCTGAGGTGAGCAGCGGGCACAGAGGTCTGCTGTGCCATGTGGATTAGCTCCCTGGCCAGGAATCGAACTCATGTTGCAGTGGCTGGCAGTATCTTGATAGCACTGTGTCTTTAACCCCTGCACCACCAGGGAGGCCCACATCTCTTGAATATTTTTATGCACGAATCTCTTCCTCTTTTTTCGTGACTCCATTGGCACAATGTTACACTTTTTGATATTGCCTTACAAGTCCTTAGAGCTTTTTTCAAATCTGTGTTTCTGTCAGATTTTCAAATTAGATAATCTCTATTTCTCCATCTTCCAGCACACTGATATTCCTGTCTCCATTTGCCAATGATTATTTTTTAAAATTTTTTAAAATTGTCAGTGCTAAAATTTCTGCTTGGTCAGTTTTTGGTAGTGTATTTCTTTGCTGAGAACATTTATCTTTCCATTCATTGTGAAAGTGTTTACTTTTACCATGGAGCATGTTTATAAAAGCTATGGTAAAGGCTTTGGGTTAGCACTTGTTGATTGTTCTCCCCTGGGAACGGCTCACATTTTACTGGGCTTTTAAAAAATATAGTTATTGAAATTCTTTTAAAAATTGAAGTAACATCTCATTATCACAAATTAAAAATTAACGGCCACCCTGGTGGCACAAGGGGTTAAGCACAGCACACTGAGGCAATCCGCAGCTTCTGTAGCACAAGTTCAATTCCCAGCCAGCCAGGGAACAACCCATATGGTGCAGCAGACCTCTCCTGTCTCACCCACTGCTCCCTGCTTTGTCTCTGGTGAATCCTCTCACCCCCTCCCACACACACACACCTTTGGCCTGTACCCCAGTTCTTGCATGCATAAATCTTTTCAAAAAAGAAATTAAAAATTAATGTGTATGTACTATATAAAGTTACCACTAATCCTTTACTATACCATTGTCTTTCGCCCAATTTATCCATACCCCTTACTCCTCCCCTTGTGGTAACCACTAATTGGTCTTATAGTCTAAGGGTTTTTAGTTCATTAACTTTCACTGTATATCACATAGGAGTGAAATCATATACTGTTTTCTTTCTCCATCTGACTTATTTCACTAAGCATGATACCCTCTAGGTCCATCCATGTTATTGCAAATGGCAAGTTTTCATAGCTGAGTGATACTCCATTTATAGGTATACCACATCTTTATCCACTCATCTGTCAGTGGGCACTTAGGTTGTCTCCAGCTCTTGGTTATTATAAATGCTGCAATGAACATGGGGAAGAGGTGAGTATCTCTCTTCAGATTAGTGTTTTTTAAATTTTAGGGGTAAATGCCCAGAAGTGGGATAACAGGATTACATAGGATTTGCTTTTAATATTCTGAGGAATCTCCATATTCCTTTCTATAATCACTGCACCAATTTACATTCCTCCCACCAGTATATAAGGGTTCCCTTTTCTCCACAGCCTCTCAAACACTTGTTTCTTTTCTTTTAGGGACTAGCCATTCTGACATGTCTGAGGTGACATCTCATTATTGTTTTTGATTTCCATTTCACTAATAAGATGCTGGACATCTTTCCATGAGCTATTGGTCACCTGTGTGTCATGTTTGGAGAAGTA